TTCCAGCATCCTAGGCAGTTTTGCTTCAGATGAAGGCTATGCACTGAGCTACTGCTGAGCTACAGTAGCTGTGGTAGTTTCATCATCACTGTGTTTCTAGAAACGGTAGTCATTACTGTGCAATGAGCTTTGAGATACTGCGATTTTAAAGGACACTAGAGAAAATCAAATTCTGTGATATCTTTCAGTTATAATCATTAAAGCTTTAAGCACTGGGTTTGCAGAAAGGGACATCTAGTGGCTGTACAAAAAAAACCTTACTAAATACATTTTAAAATGTACAACATAGCCATTTATGTGTGACTGCAATCTTCAGTATTCTGTACATCTTTGTAGCTGTACTAACTACATCATGTGTTTGCTGGGATCATTTTTTGTCTTTTTGGCAAACAAAAAAATCACCTTTGTGAGCCATACCTTTCTAGCTTTATGTAGGTCTATGTATGGTAGCTTTGGCAGATAGAAAACTGCCTTCAAGCCATTCTTGATGTACCTCATTGCTACACTTCCACATTTTCTATAGCATCTTCCAAGAGTCCACTGCCTGCTGTTTCCTTCTGTCATTGCCTTCCCCTTTGGTACTGTACTTGGAGAGGTTGTCATTGTTATTGTCATGGTAAAATCTACTTTCTTTTGAATGCCCATAGCATAAAAGTCAGCGGGAGGGGTGGATGAGATTCAGGGAAACACTAATCTAAGCACTCAGTCATGTATTACACAACAAAAGTTTTTTCCTTTCCCATCCACGTTGTGCTCCTTCTTACTAGTTGAGGATGAATTCCATGCATGTTTCTGTGAATAGCCTGACAGTTTAATCGGTACATTTGCATATGGGCAAACGGAGCTTTTTTCAAAGTTGCACAGTAATATGTTTCACCTTTATGCCATGCCAGCTTCAAATTGCATCCCAGGAGGATTGCAAATGTGCGTAATCTGTGCAGTTGTCTGGGCTTTTTTTTCTTTTCTTTTTTTCTGCTTTTTTCTGCTTTTTTTTTTTTTTTTTTGAACTGGCAAACGCCTATTCATTGCCCATCTGGGTGAGAATGGCCTTTGCATTTTCACACCCATTCTTTCCTATATGGTTTGTGAATACCCCTCCAATCAGAACTTGCTTCACAGAAAGGAGACAAAACCATTTTACAGGAGTTTCTCAGAATAAGTCCATTGGGATCTCTACATCATGTTTACTGGACAAAAAAAGCGGGGGGAGGGCACTTAACAAAGGCCACTTGAATTTCACAGAAAGGTTCCCACTGTCTCGAGTTTAAAAGAGTGGCAGGCTTGAGAAGAGCCTGAGACAGCAGTCTTTTTCCTGAGCCAGGCATTCTGTGCAGTGACGAGTAGGTGAGTGTGCGCGTGTGTAGCTGGGTCTTGTGAAGAGCTGACACACTTTCTGGCTTGTCCAAGGCTCTAGTAGTTTTTGTCAGAATGTGGCATTTACTTTAGAATCAAACCTGCTTTGGCAAGTCCACCTTTTATGGGGAGCATCGCCTTTGAACTTTCAGCTTAGAACAGCATACAGTGAGGGACAACCACAAAACTTGCATCTGGACACAGTTTCCTGCAGAGAGGGAGAGTAGCTGCATGGGACAGTGGGTTTTGCTACAGACCAATCTCTGGAATTTCTTAAAGCTGCTCTTTTATACTGCTGTGGTTTGTGTAGTAGCATCTCTGACACTACTGCAAACTATTTGGTTGCCTGTACTTTGGATAGGTATGGTTTTCAGTGTTGAACGTCAAGGAAGGTGGCCTAGAATAAACATCCTCAAAATCTGTATTAGTTTTTTTTACCATTTGTTATGTGTCTCTTACACCCACCCCTCTTGTTTTATCCTTAAGGAGTGAATTTCAGTTGTTTCTCAGTTGAAGAAGTGGTAGATGTTCCAATTTCATTTGAAGAAGTAAAGAAATGAGGAGAGGATTTTTTTAAGGGAAAACTCTGTTATACCAATAGCAACCAAAATGTACTCCATGCCTTTTATGAAGTGACTCAATTGACTTTCAGACCAGTTCCTACACCTCAAGGTGCATCCTAGATCATTTCCTATAGGAGAGCTGTTCACATCACTCTCATAAATGCATACAAACCTCTTTTCTTTAGCCTTGATTAACCCCAGCTGGCTGTTTTCATCAAGTTAGCTAATGACCAAATACATTGTGGCTACACAACTCTTGCTTCCCACAGCCAGGACCTGAGAAAGGCTGCTGAAACTTACAGATTAACCTTGCCCTTCCTCCTTTCTGTACATGCTTTGTGGATAAGTGGCAGAATTCACTTTCCCAAGAAGTCATCCAGTCTCGTGGTGCATATCACACCTTTCTGGAAAGCAGTTGTCCTGAGGATGCATTTTTCAGAGTTCCACTCACAAAATTCATTTTACCTGCGAAGGTGCATAGGAACAAAGTAGACTTCTTTGCACCTGCTCAAGTCAAGAGACCTGTCCCTAGCATCTCTGGTATGTGTGAAATATTCCACCTTGTGCATGTGCAAGGCAGGAGTTTTGGTTTATTGAGTTAGACTGCTGCATATTTCTTCTTACTATCAAATACCTCATTTGACAAAGCAGAACATAAACTAGAGGTCATTCCGTTTTCCAGAAGCACATCTTAATGACATGTTTTTGTGAAAAGGGAGCCCTAGGGTCAAACCAAGTAGTGATTGATACTTACTGATGGAAAGATTTCTAGCATACTGATACGCAACCACTCAAAGGGAGATGCAGATAAATGGGTAGCCATGCAATTGCTTGCCATGGCCTACAGTAGGTCTTGAAAAGAGGTGTCATCTATTTATCATTAATTTTCCACCCTTCTGTTTCCTCACCAGTACAAAGCTTTTACCAAGTTCTCTTCCTTTCAGATCAAGGATTCTGACTTTTTATGTAAATACATTTTGAATCCTCGTGTGATCTGACATGTTGGGAAGGGAAGCATCTGGAACTGCCCTGGAGGCCTCTGGAGAATGACTCTATCCGGAAGGAGGAGGGAATATATCTGTTCTGTACATTATTTTGTGTAATAATAGTTGCAGTGCCCTTGAAGGAAAGTCTCCCAGTTTCTAAGATGTTTTTGCAGGCCTATGATCAGTCTCATCAGAGGAGGAAACTCAGGTTTCCCGACAGAGCTTATGAACAAGACAGATGTAATTCACAACCTCCATGATACTGTTAGTGGTTTCCTCCTTGTTTCTGCTATCCCCCCAGTGCTCTAATCTCACATGGAAATTAGTACCCTTCTGATACTGGCTGGTTTACATCTGTTAACATCAGACTTCTTCAGACAGCTTGGCCCCATCAGGATTTCCGGTTCCTGACCTTTGTGCTTCCCTTTTATCATTCAGCTACTTCGGAGAATTAAAATAACCACCCGTGTCCAAGGTGGTTTCTCTTTGAACCACCAGAATAGAGGGTGCTTGAGATGTCAGGAATGGATAAATGAGAACGAAAAGGCAGAGCAGGGAGGATGCCGCATTTTCCTGCAAATTGCAGTAAGTAGTGTTCTACTGCCCGTGTATGAGATGTAAAAGCATCCTTCGGGCTAGAGCAGAGGGACATTGTTGGGCTAAAAGGCATGTATATGAAACTGCTTTCAATGCCATTTATTTGCTCCGTGTAATTCTGTTGAAACAGACAGTGACAATAAGCTAGTTTAATTTACTCCTGCTTCTCTACCAAATTTCACTTTTGGATTCTCACACATTAACAAGTAATTGTGGCAAGATGGGTTGTGGCTTTGGTAGGAATATTCAAGACAAAATGCCTGTAATACTGGTGGTGATTTTGCATTACTTTTCTCTGCATACTTTTCTGGGAACCAAGGTGATGCGTGTACTGCAAATGCTAAGAGAAATAAATTATTAATAATGTTTTATTTGTTTACCACTCAAAGGGCAGTTGGTTCTTCATAGTTAAAGGGTGAAACCATAGTTTCTGCCCATCAAAATCTAAATAGATGAAAAATGAGTAAAGAACAGGAAAGGAAACGAAAAAGCATTAAAACCAAAGCAAGCAAGATGGAGATAGGGAAAAGTGGATCAAGAGATTAAGAAGTTACTTTTTAGCTGCTTGTAAAAGTTAATTTTGAAGGATATGTTGGCTCTGTAACCGAATTGGTTAGGTGCTTTTCTAAACTGTTCTCTATTTAGATTATTCAGCCAAACTAAGACAAAGTCTTTCTTAGAGTAAATGTCTGTAATTTTCCAGTTTCTGTCAAGTAAATAACAGGAGGAGAACATTTGTTTTTATATGATGGCATTCTGGTGCCAGTCAGAACTTGGGATATGCTAAAAATGAAGGGGACAGCTCATGTTAACTTTTTGCTTTGGGTTCTTACAGAGGAGCGTTTGTCACTATTGGGTAGCAAATGTTCTAAACCACAACCCCAGACGAAACTGTGCGTGGGATTTTAGGAACGCTTACAGCCTGAATCTTGAACCAGATTTGGATTTTACGAAGTGACTGCCAGTTTTTTTGATACAAGTAACTGTACTGTAAAACACAGGCTCCAAATTCCTTAAAATACCAGTCTAGATAGAAATCCCATTTTCATATAGACTCTTTGCATTAACAACTTGGTGTAAAGGGTCATTAAAGTAAGAATCTGATCTTTTCTGGCATAGGTCCACATCCGAACAGCCTAAAATCCAGTTTTAATCCATGTGCTCAGTGTTTACAATTGGCTGGCTCTAGGCTTTTTAAAGCCAGATAGACTGATAGGAAGTCCAAGGCCCAGGAATGTGGTTGGAATTTAGGCCCAGCTACACCTGTCTTTGTCTGCTTTTGTCCAAAAATTCAGGACTTGAGCTTCTGCAAATGAGTAGCGAAGTTTACTTCTAGCCTTACAGAGATGATGGCTTCTTATCAGTGCCTTTGTATGTGATTTTTACAGTATAATCTGTTTTGTTTACCCAGTGGGCAGTCACCTTCGCTAATGCCCTGACTGTGGCTCTGCAAAGGACAAGACTCAATCTGGTTTTTTTTTTGTCACCTGCTTTGCTACAGGTAACATCAGTTGCAAGGGGATGACAGAGCGCATTCATAGCATCAACCTTCACAACTTCAGCAATTCTGTGCTCGAGACTCTCAACGAGCAGCGCAACCGTGGCCACTTCTGTGACGTGACGGTCCGCATCCACGGGAGCATGCTACGTGCCCACCGTTGTGTGCTGGCAGCTGGCAGCCCCTTCCTCCAGGGCAAGCTGCTGCTGGGCTACAGCGACATCGAGATCCCCTCAGTGGTGTCAGTCCAGTCTGTGCAAAAGCTCATTGACTTCATGTACAGCGGGGTGCTGCGGGTCTCACAGTCGGAGGCCCTCCAAATCCTCACAGCTGCCAGCATCCTACAGATCAAGACTGTGATTGATGAGTGCACAAGGATTGTCTCGCAAAATGTGGGAGAGGTCTATCCGGTGATTCAGGATTCTGGCCAGGAGACACCCAGGGGAACACCTGAATCAGGCACCTCGGGGCAGAGCACCGACACAGAGTCTGGCTACCTGCAGAGCCATTCGCAGCACAGTGTGGACAGGATCTATTCAGCCCTCTATGCCTGTTCCATGCAAAATGGCAGTGGGGAGCGCTCCTTTTACAGTGGAGCTGTGGTCAGCCACCATGAAACAGCCCTGGGGCTCCCCAGGGACCATCACATGGAAGACCCCAGCTGGATTACCCGGATCCACGAACGGTCGCAACAGATGGAGCGGTACCTCTCCACCACTCCAGAGACCACACACTGCCGCAAGCAACCACGTCCTGTCCGAATTCAAACCCTGATGGGCAACATCCATATTAAGCAGGAGATGGAGGATGACTATGACTACTATGGCCAACAGAGGGTGCAGATCCTTGAGCGCAATGAGTCTGAGGAATGCACTGAGGACACTGACCAAGCAGAAGGCACTGAGAGTGAGCCCAAAGGGGAGAGTTTTGACTCAGGAGTCAGTTCCTCCATTGGCACTGAGCCCGATTCCATGGAGCAGCAGTTTATGGCTGGTCTGGGCCGGGATGGGCAGCAAGAACCTTCTCAAGCAGATCAAAATGACGTCCCTGCTGATGGCACTCAGCCGCAGCAGCAGCATGTAGATGCCAACTCTTCCTCGCCAGAGAGAAGCAATGACGTTGAAATGGACAGCAAAGTGCTCACAGTCAATAACAGCACCGAAAAGGGGGCTTTGCAGCCTTCTGTCAACACAACTGTTGCCCAACCATTGCCAACCACACAGATCTACTTACGCCAGACAGAAACCCTCACCAGCAATCTGAGGATGCCACTGACTCTGACCAGCAACACTCAGGTCATTGGCACAGCTGGCAACACCTACCTGCCTGCCCTTTTCACCACACAGTCTGCTGGCAGTGGCCCTAAGCCTTTTCTCTTCAGCCTGCCCCAGCCTTTAGCTGGCCAACAGACACAGTTTGTGACAGTGTCCCAGCCTGGCCTGTCAACCTTTACTGCCCAGCTGCCAGCCCCACAGCCCTTGGCCCCATCTGCAGGCCACAGCACAGCAGGTGGGCAAGGCGAAAAAAAGCCTTATGAGTGCACTCTCTGTAACAAGACTTTCACCGCCAAACAGAACTACGTCAAGCACATGTTTGTACACACAGGTAAGAGTACATCCTTTTGGCTTATACACGAAGCCAGAGAAAGTCATTGATAATCATGGACTTAGATTCCAATTCCCAACCTGCCAGCTCCCAGCACAAGCAGGAGGGAGAGGTTATCCAGGGAGCTGGTATCTCTGAACACTTTCCAAGCTTACTGCATTGAAGATGAGCCCCTGCAGAAACATATAGGTTCCTTATAGGGGCCTAACTGTGCATGGTGCAGAAACAAGCTCATTTTATTGGAGTAAAATGTGTCCTGCACCCATCCAAGGAAATGGAAAGCATTTTTTGTCCCCTGCAAGCTGGCCAGGCAACATTAAGTAGGAGTGGCATGAGGAAAATTTAATAAGTCATTAAAGAAAAACTGTATCTAGTAAGAAAGGGCATCCCTCTGTAAGTTTTACAGCTACGGGGGTTTAAGCTCAAGTGGTGATGATTGGCAGGAGTTTAGGGCAAGTTCATTCCTGTTGGAGTAGCAGCAGTAGGTCCAGGCCTGGGTGTTACACACATTGCCACCTATTTTATAAATCTCACATATTGCTATAAGAAAGTAAATTTGGAGTTTTTTCAGGAAGTTTTTCTGTACTTCACTGAAGCTGATTGCTGTAATCCCCTGTCTCTTGGTGAGTCAGATGTTTCACTAGCTGTGAGTACAGAAACATAGGGCTCAATGAGAAAAATTTAAAATAATATATGTAGAACACAACATCAACACCCTTTTTGTTTAAAAATGCAACTGCTTTAGTAAATGGTCTTTTGAGACGATATAGGTAACCATATTTACTACTGAGCCAAAACTGCCTTTTCTAGCTTTGTCAAGTTACGAGACTTGAAAGCAAGGAGATGTATGTATCTTACATGGAGAAGCTATCCTGGGTTCAGGACTAAATTTTGCTTGCTTTAGCCCTTGGTTCATTCTGACGTTGGAGAGAAATTCTTGTTTAGAGAAAGAGTAAATATTTCTCTCACCAAGCAGTGGTTTTGTTAACGTCAGATCTTAAAATAAATGCTGGGTTTGTGATACATGGAGTAGAACCTGAAGCAATTGCCCAAGGAATGGGAGGAATGTAAGTCATGCCTCCCCATTGTATCTAATAGATTTCAATTCCATGTGTGTATGTAAGCTTTTAACTTCTACTTACCAATAATTATCACTTAAATGAAAAATTCCTCTAGACATCTAAGGCAGTCATGTACAGGTAGATATACAAAACGGTCAACTTCTCAGGACTGGTACAAAATGTATGATTGCAAGGATCAAGAATCCTGAATCCCAAGATGACCCTTTGTGTCTGTTTATGTTCTTCATCTTTATGTTGTGGATGAATAGCTAAAATACTATGTAGATAGTGTTGCGTTACTCAGAAAAATGTACCCTTCAAAACACAGTCAAATGTATCTGCCTGCATCCTTGTTCTAAAAGCTAGAAAGGCTTTTTCACAAATAACTTCACTGAGATTAGGTGTTTTATTGCACCCACCCCCAACTGTGCACTGCATTTGGTATTTGGAGTCAGATAAAGAACAATATTGGAAGACCTGACCTAAAATATTCCTAGCTACTACACATAAAGTCAACCAAGGAAATTGATAGGCATAGAATCATCATAGAATCATAGAAT